AAACAAGAATAGTGTCTGCAAATACTAGCTAATAGAATAAAAAAGGGAGAGAACAATCCAACATGGGAAGTGAGATACACAGCAGACCCATAGAATGGCAAATGTCCTAACAGCACTCTGGCCTCAGAATCAGCCCTTAAGGCATGCGGATCCGGCTGAAATGCCCATGAGAGTATTTCAGGCATGGAAAACCAAGACACTCTGGGGGAAAAAAAAACCTAAATGAAAGATCTCCACGAGTGAGATCCCAGTGGAAAGAATGGGTCATCAAAGAAGGAGGTACCTTTCTCTGAAGGGAGGAGAGAACTTCCACTTTGACCTTGTCTAAATATGATCAGAGTCAGTGAACTCAGGGGGCTTCCATAGCCTTGGCAGCTCATGACAAGAGCCTAGGGTGATTACTGAGGCCATAAACAAGAGTGTCAATTTGTTAAGTCAACAACAGGAGTCACTGTGCACTTACTCCTCATGTAGGATCTTTGTCCTTAGTGTGCTGTACATTGAGATTTAATGCTACAACTAGTACTCAAACAGTATTTTTCACTTTATGTTTCTGTGTGGGAGCAAACTGTTGAAATCTTTACTTAACGTATGCTAAACTGATCTTCTGTATATAAAGAGAATCGAAAATGAATCTTGATGTGAATGGAAGGGGAGAGGGAGTGGATAAGGGGAGGGTTGTGGGTTGGAGGGACGTTATGGGGGGGAAGTCATTGTAATCAAGATTCTGTACTTTGGAAATTTATATTCATTAAATAAAAGTTAAAAAAAGAAAGAAATTAATAACTGGGATTACATCAAATTGAGAAGCTTCTGTATTGTAAAGAAACACTCATGAAAATGAAGAGGCAACCAACAGAATGGGAGAAATTATTTGCCAACTATGCAACTGTTAAAGGATTAATAACCAAAATATATAGAGAGACCAAGAAACTCCACAACAACAAAACAAATAACCCAGTTATGAAATGAACAGAAGACTTAGACATTTTTCAAAAGAGGAAATCCAAATGGCCAACAGACACATGAAAAAATGCTCAGAATCACTAGCCATCATGGAACTGTAAATCAAAATCACAATGAGATTTCACCTCACCCCAGTCAGAATGGCTTTCATACAGAAATCAACAAACAACAAATGCTGGTGAGGATGTGAAGCAAAATGTACCCTAATCCACTGTTAACGGGAATGTAAACTGGTAAAACCACTATGGAAGACAGTATGGAGATACCTCAAAAATCTGAATATAGACCTATCACATGACCCAGCCATCCCACTTCTGGGAATTTACCCAAGGGAAGTAAAATCAACAAATAATAGAGTTATATCACCCACATGTTTATTGCAGCTCAATGCACAATAGCTGAGACATGGAATCAACCTAAATGTCAACCATAGATTGGATAAAGAAACTATGGGACGTGTACACTATGGAATACTGCATAGCAGTTAAAAAAAAAATGAAATCTGGTCATTTGCAACAAAAATGGATGAATCTGGAAAAACATCATACTTAGTAAAATAGGCCAATCCCAAATGGAGAAATACCATATGGTCTCCCTGATCTGTGATAACTAATAGAGCACCTAAAAGAAAATCTGTAAAAGTAAAATTGACACTTTGAGAAGCAATGACTTGAATAGTCCTTGTCTCAACTGTCAAGGAACAGTTTTTTTTTTTCCCTTAATACTATTTGTTGAACTCTTTACTTAACAAAGAGTTAATCATATGTGTACGAAGTCAACTGAAGTTGATCTCAGTAAAAAATAAGAGTGGGAATAAGAGAGAGAATAGGAGGTTCGTAACTGTAAAGCTGTATAGTTCTGCATACATTCCTATGGACTTACTTCTAAGGGTACAGATTAAAAACTTGCCATGAGACCCCAAATCCCATTAAGCTAGATGGTAAAAATGCCATCTTAAGTATTTAAGGTATCATATCAAGTGTTAAAGTGATCATATAGATAGAATTAAGTATTAAAGTATATAAATAGGATCAAGTGTCTGACAATAATAGAGAGAATTAAAAAGAAGAGAATGTTCCAACATGGGAAGAAGTCCACACAGCAGACTCATAGAATGACAATTGCTTTAAATAGCACTCTGACCTCAGAATCAGCCCTAAGACATTCTAGTCTGGCTGAAAAGCCCATGAGAGCATTTCAGGCATGGAAAGCCAAGACACTGTGGCAAAAAATGTCCTACATGAAGAATCTCTCTAAGAACCCCAGTGGAAAGAAGGGGCTATCAAAGGATGTACTTTTCTGATGGAGGAACGAACTTCCACTTCACTTACAGCACTGTCTAAATACTGACAGAGATTGTGGATTCAAAAGTCCTCCACAGCCTTATCAAGAGCCTTGTGTGATCACTGACGTCATACGTAAGACTGTTAATTGGTTTTTTTTTAAAGATTTATTTATTTGAAAGTCAGAGTTACACAGAGAGAAGGAGAGGCGGCGGGGGGGGGGGGGGGGGGGGGTCTTTCATCCACTGGTTTACTCCCCAACTGTCCACTGCACCAATCTGAAGCCAGGAGCCAGGAGCTTCCTCTGGGTCTCCCACGTGGGTGCAGGGGCCCAAGGACTTGGATCATCTTCTACTGCTTTCCTGGGCCATAGCACAGAGCTGGATCGGAAGTGGAGCAGCAGGTACTTGAACCAACGCCCACATAGGATGCCAGAACTGCAGGCATCGGCTTTACCCACTATGCCACAGTACTGGCCCCAAAAGTGTTAATTGTTAAATTAACAAAAGGAGTCACTGTGCACTTACTTCCCATGCAGGACCTCTGTTCAATGAATTGTATTATAAGAAATAACTGTAAAACTTGTTCTCAGTTTTGTGTGTTTGTGTGCAAATTGATGAAATCTTTAGTTATAGAGCTGGCTTTCTATGCATAAAGTTAACTGAAAATGAATCTTAAGGGAGAATGGAATGGGAAATGGGAGAGGGAGGAGGAGATGGGGTGGGAGTCAGGGTGGGAAGGCAGGTATAGAGGGAAGAATCACTAACTTCCTCAAGTTGTACTTATGAAATTTGTACTCCTTAAATAAAAGGTTTTATTGGAGGAAAAAAAGAAGTTTAAGTTACATTTATAAGGAAATGAGTAGGTATAGAAATAAAAAAATGTTTCAGTATTACCACAGTAGATCAGACACAAGTATCTGGGGAAAACTTTGCTCAGCAACTAATACTTAATCCATTCCAAAAGAATATTCTAATCTATTTTTCTCTGAGAACTCTAATTTAAATTACTTCCTATCCCCCTAGTTTAAATTTTAACTTAGATGGTCTTAGTAGAAGAAAAATGGAGCTTCTATTTTGTTCACTGACAGAAAACAAACCTTATAATTTCTTCATTTAGATGATTAAATTCCCAAATACCACCAATAAATAATTGAAGAACACAGTGAAAAGTTTCTTTGAAAGGGCCCTACCTTCATTCCTAAAATTTTGATGAGGTCTCCAAATTACAATCTCCTAAGAATATTCACGTTAACATATGAGTAGCTATGATAGATAGGAAGTCTATACAATGCATACAGATTATCCTCCCTTTTGATAACATCTTTCTTTTTTGATTGCCATCTCTTAAACAAAGGTGAGAATACCAATTTTAAATAGATTTTACAGTACCATGGTTCTACAACCATAGAAAAGATAAATTGCATGTTAGAAGTTTGACAATTAATATCGAGAAACAATATATTTATTAGTATAAGACAATTTCCCCTTTGTTGTCAAGTCTTAAGAAACCACTGCTCTTCTAATAAATTCATTTGGAACACAAGCTAGGGTAAGTATTTGGCCTAGCAGTTGAAATGCTAGTTAAGACACCTGCATCTCATGTCAGAGTATCTGGGTTCAATGTCTGCCTCCTGCTAATGCAGACCCCTGGAAAGGCAGTGGTGACAGCTCAAGTGGTTGAGTTCCTGTCACACACATGGGACACCTGGCTTCAACCTCAGTAAACCCAGGCTGTTTGGTAAAAGCAGCAGCAGATGAAACATGATCACTCTCTCTTGTTCTCTCAAATTACAGGAGTGGGGCAGAGAGAGAAAGAAAGTGACAGAGGGAAGGGAAAGGCTAACATACTCATAAAAAAGAGGAAGAAAATACCAGAGTGATGTACTTTATTTTCCTTTAAAATGTCTAATATCGGGGCAGGCATTTGCCCTATCAGCTAAGGTGCTCTTCAGGATGTCCTAGTCTCCTAGAGCAGCTGGTTGGGTTCCTGGCTCCTAGCTTTGGCCCCAGTTGAGCCAATGTAGGCATCTGGGAGTGAATCAGCAACTGGGAGCCACTCATGCTCTCTCACATGTGCTTTCTGCCTTTCAAATAAACAAACTTATCTTTTTAAAAGAGAGAAAAAAATAAAATGTCTAGTATTTAGTTAATATATTTTGATAGCCCAAAGCCTTTCTTAATTATTCAAATGTTTCAGAAAAAAACTTTTTTAAAAAGATGAAATTAGAGAAAGATCACAAACGTCTCCTAATGATGCTTTTTGTCTTTCAAGAGTAATAATGATAAATTTCCAGATTAGTGAGCATAAGGCTATGTCTACACATGACCCACCTGAAATGTCTTTGATTTCATCAACTCCCTATTTCTGCTTTAAAAAAAAAAAAACATTGTGTAGACTTCACCAAAGATGCAGAGACACAGTTAACTGGTTTAAGTAACAAAACCAGTGATTTACACAGAAAATTTTATTTTCAATCAAAGTCACTATAGAAACAATAAAATAGAATCATGTATTCTATAGTAAATCAAAACCAAATTAACCTTAGGTAAGTTATGCTTAAAAAAGCTAAATGTATAAGACTATGTAACAGGCAAGTTTCAAAAAAGTTTAACATGAATTCATAAAATTGAAATAAAAAATTGATACTTACCATTAACATTGGATTAAAAATAAATGAATGCATAAATAATCTCTAATAGTTCTTAATTTAATATTTTACAAGAATATTTAAAGTATTTTTGAACTTACCCAAATGAAGCAGTGTAAACTGGGCTGCCAGTTCCTTTGCATCTTCTAATGTAGTACACAGTTTGTCTGGCATGAAGTAACTCTGGGATCCATTTGCAATAGCAGGAATAACTATTTTATAAACCAAGAGTACTTTTCCATCCTGACTTGTTGTTGAATACAAATAATATTCCGGTGGTGCCCAATTATTTTTGTTGCAGTAATAATCCAAATGCATTACTGCAGAATTAAAATGATTGGATTTTAAAGAATACATACTAATTGGAGTAAGCTTTGTTCCAGGAAAGAAAGGGTAAGTGCATCTTTCAATTTCAGGTGGGCTTGGGCTATGCTGACCATTAAGACGAGTAGGAAGAGTCGGTGGCTTGCCTAGAGTTTTAGGGTGGCTTTCTTCTTTGTTAGCAAACACAATCAGGTTTTCAGAATTGGGGCTAATCTGACCATTAAGATGTTGTCTCCAAGTGTTTTCCTTATTTACTGGTTTTGCCAGTGTTACCTCAATGCTTGCTCCATCAATGCATTTGCCATTCATAACAGACATAGCAGCCACTGCATCTTCTCGGTTGAAAAAGTGAACAAAAGCATAATCTCTAAGTTTCTTTACTCGCTCAACAGCACCAGGCTTGAATTTATTGAATTCTGCTTTAATTGTTTCCTCTGTAGTTGAGATCATTAAATTTCTTACATAGAGAACTTTAACTCTCTGCATGGTTTCCTCATCAACCTCTTTCTCTGGATCAGCCCAGTCCACCTGAATGGTGTGGCCCCACAGCTGGAATGTTCCTGTGAAAAAGAATACAGTAATTTGAAAAGAAGTCAAACAGGGAATGAAAAGTAAAAATATTAAGTACAAAGAAGAAAGTTCTTATTAATAAGCAAATCTAATCAGAATTTGTGGTGGACTTTAAAAGTCAACAGATTCTTGTTAGAAGAATTAAGTTTTGCGCTTTGGATTTTTATTAAATTAATGGCCAAGTTAAAGTATATGCATTAAGTAAATGATCATAAATATAATTCATTTTATAGAAACAATTTGTTGTTTTAGAATTATGTGATTTACTTCCTTAAACCGTGCTTCTTTAGGAATATACCATGATAATACTGATTATAAAGTGTCATTTTTCCTTGGAAAAATACTTTTTAAAACAGTAAGTTTACCTGGAATTAGTTTTCTCCTAGCCATGGCAGCAGCTCTGTGAGATTCATATTCAACAAATGCAAAACCACGATTTTTGGTCTTATCAGTTGCACTTGGATATACAATGACATCTACAACTCCTTCTGTAACTTTCTTCATTTCATCCAAAATTTCTTCTTTCTTCTTTTCCTTGGGAATAGCTCCAATAAATAATCTGCAATTATCCAAACTTACACATACACCAATAAACTTCCCTGGTCTAATTTCATAATTATTAAGAATTCTAATGGCTAACTGGGCTTCTTCTTTTGTAGTGTACATCACAAAAGCATAACCTCGATTTTCACCACTAAATTCCATCATAAGTCGAAATTCATATATCTTTCCAGCTCTTTCAAATACAGGAACTAACTCATCTTCATACATATCACGAGGTATTTTTCCCACAAAAACTTCACAGCCCCTAGGTGGAGGTGGACCTTCCCAACCTGAAAGACAAAAATAACATGCATAATCATAAGATTTTTATATTCACTATTCAATCATTTATTCATTCAACAAATTTTCTGTGAGTTTCCTAAATGCCATGCAGTTTTCTATGTGTTGGGGACATAACAGTGAACAAAATAAAGCTTTCTTTCATGAAGCTTATAATCAATAGAGAAGGGAGAAAAGATGTGAGTGCTAAGCACTAAGAAGAAAAATCAAACTATACAGGGGTATTATCTTAAACAGGTAAAGCTTTGATCTCAAGCTCAAGCAAAGGAGGCCGGCCCTTTGGCTCACTTCGTTAATCCTCCACCTGAGGCGCCGGTATCCCATATGGGCGCCGGGTTCTAGTCCCGGTTGCTTCTCTTCCAGGCCAGCTCTCTGCTGTGGTCCAGGAAGGCAGTGGAGGATGGCCCAAGTGCTTGGGCTCCTGCACCTGCATGGGAGACCAGGAGGAAGCACCTGGCTCCTGGCTTCAGATCAGCAACAGCGCTGGCCATAGTGGCCATTTGGGGAGTGAACCAATAGAAGGAAGACCTTTCTCTCTCTCTGTCTATAACTCTACCTGTCAAATAAATTAAAAAAAAAAAAAAAAGGCTGAAGCAGAGACCTGAATTATGAGGGAATGAATATTGAGGGTTATTAGAACAAATGCATTCAGAAAACAAAAAGCAAAGGCTGTGTAAGTTAGATCAACATGGAGTATGAGTATACGGCAGAAGGATGTATTTGAGGATGAAAGTGATATAGCCATCAAGGTAACTAGAACCAAGAGCTGTATTTTAATAATTATAAAGGTAATTGGAGGGTTTTGAGCAAAGGAATTTTACTGGCTATTGGCAAAAAGGTAAAATACCATATGTATATGCTTACTGTTTGGATCTGGCTTATTAGTATAAACACTACTCTTTGATTCACCATTCTTTCAAATTCCTCCCCAAATGACCTTCTTTTTAATATCTAGATTATCCTTTTCCCCCCACTACCCCAATTTTGATTTCTTTCCCAACCCAACCCAATTTCTTTCTCAACTGCTTCTTAAATCAAAAGTGAAGCTGGGGCCGGCACTGTGGTGCAGTAGGTTAATTTTCTGTGGTGCTAGCATCCCATATGGGCACTGGTTCTAGTTCCAGCTGCTCCACTTCCAATCCAGCTCTCTGCTGTGGCCTGGGAAAGCAGTAGAAGATGGCCAAGTCCTTGGGCTCCTGCACCCACGTGGGAGACCAAGAAGAAGTACCTGGCTCCTGGCTTTGGACAGGCACAGCTTTGGCCGTTAGGGCCACTGGGGAGTGAATCAACAGAAGAAAAGACTTTTTTCTCTCTCTCTGCCACCCATTGTCTGTAACTTCTACCTCTCAAATGAATAAATAAAATCTTTAAAAACAAAAATGTGAAGCTGGGGGAGGCAGTACTGAGTGCAACAGGTTAAGCACCACCTATGACACCAGCATCTTGTATGAGCACTGGTTCAGATCCCGGCTGCTCCACTTCTGATCAGGCTCCCCATTAATGTGTGTCCAAGCACTTGGACCCCTGCTATCCACGTGAAAGACTCAGATGGAGTTCTTGGCTCCTAGCTTCAGCCTAGCCCAGCCTGGCCAGCCCCACCACTGCAAACATTTGAGGATTGAACCAGTAAATAGAAGACTGATCTCTCTCTCTCTCTCTCCCCCCCCCCAACTCTGCTTCTCAAATAAGTAAATATTGTTTTAAAAAAAAAGAGCAGGGTTGAGGGGCCGGCGCCATGGCGCACTAGGTTAATCCTCCGCCTGAGGTGCCGGCATCCCATATGGGCGCCGGGTTCTAGTCCCGGTTGCTCCTCTTCCAGGCCAGCTCTCTGCTGTGGTCCAGGAGGGCAGTGGAGGATGGCCCAAGTGCTTGGGCCCTGCACCCGCATGGGAGACCAGGAGGAAGCACCTGGCTCCTGGCTTCAGATTGGCACAGCGCCAGCCATAGCAGCCATTTGGGGAGTGAACCAATGGAAGGAAGACCTTTCTCTCTCTCTCTCTCTCTGTAACTCTTCCTGTCAAATAAATAAAATCTTTAAAAAAAAAAAAAGAGCAGAGTTGAAAAAATTTAAGGGTAAGACATGTATAATATTTACAATCTACCTCATGCCCTTCAAAACAGTAAAAATAATTGCTGAGATCTTAAAGCAGATAAAAGAGAAAAACTACTGTTTGGGATACTTTTGGGGAGATGCAACCAATCTACATCACTGCATTAAAGACTGAATTTAAAAGAGCACAAACAAATTCACACCTGGAGGAGGACCACCAAATTTCCTTTGCCCATTTTCTTGAACCATGTTGTAACCAGTCTTTTCCATCAAGGCAAGTAATGCTGCTTCATTCTGAGTACCAGTTCGAACTTTACTACATCCATTTGTTCCATCTATATTTTCTTCATTCATGGTTGTAGTTCCTACAACAAGGTTAACAGTGTTTGAAAGTTACAATCTGGAGCACTAGGAGTCTATGAAGCATTTCTCTTGAGTTGCAAGAAATCAAGAACAGTTGTGGTTGCCATGTTTGATTACCCTTCATGTCCTCCCCAAAATTTTTCCCCAAAGCACAAATTGGACTCCTAGTGTCACTGATCAATTAAGCAGGAGCTTTAGAAGACCTGGGCTACAATAAAGGAAGGCAAAAGTGAAAAAGAAAAAAGAACAAAGAATGGGAAAACAGAAGTAAATCAAAGAGAAGACAAAAGAAAGCAGAGAGAATATATATATATATGTAATACACACACACACACACACACACCACCATCAATGAATACAAGATCACTGCCAATCTCTGGACCCAAGGATTCAATCATTTTCCATACAGACAAACTGGATTTTCCTGTGACCTGTCAGATACATTTCGTCTATTGGTAGTACCACTCATAACCTAAGCAATCCTCAACAGTTTCACCAGTTATCAGATATCAAGCAGATGCTTGGAACAATTAGACAGAAATTCAAATCAGTCTGTTTCCATCTACTGAAAGAAGTTACCAAAGAGAGCAAGGAACATCTTCATCCTAGCAGAAAACAGGAGCTACTGTCATTTCCAACTAGCAGTAACTTAAGAAACTTCCATCAGTAGATTAGCAGGAACTCAGGGTGAGGAGCAGAGATCTCCTGTGACCACTGTATGCAAGTATAAATACGTAGTTTACAGGCCAGTGTTATGTATGGTACAGGAGGGTTAAAATGCCACTTGTGATGCCGGCATCCCGTATCTGAGTGCTAGCTGCAAGTCTTGTCCGTGTTTCCAGTTCAGCTCCCTGCTAACGTGCCTAGGAAGGCAAAAGATGTTTGGACCTCTGCCACTAATGTGGCAGACCAGGACAGAATTCCTGCCTTCTGACTTCAGCCTGGCTCAGACCTGGCTGTTGTGGTCTTTTGGGAAATGAACCAATAAATGAAAGATCTCCACCTTCATCTCTCTCTGCTTTTCAAATAAATAAATAAATTAATTAACCTTTTTAAAAACTATAGTTTAATTTTTTAAATGACCTTAATTACCGTATCTTTCAGGGTTTTTTCTTCTAAAGAGCAATGCAGTGATTCATCGCTTCCTCTCTCTCATTTAGTATTATCATGAATGAATATAAAAATTAAAATTCACAGTATAGAGAAAATACTAGGGAAGCTATTTGCCTTTCAATAGTCTTCTTATTGTAAATAAAAAACCAAGTCACTGTAGCCACTATTTTTAAAGGTATGATAATTTGAGCCACAATACTTCAATTTTAGACTTCCTGGCTAGGCAACCAATTGACATAATCAATTTCTTTACAGAGTAGCCTCTTCATTTGAAAATGGGTGTACCAATAGAATTTTATCACAGGATGCTGTCAAGATTAAATGAAAAGTGTGTGTGTAAAAGACTTGTTGACATTCCATAAGGATTAAATAAAGGCCAGTTTTGATAAATACCAGACACCAACACACACTCATTTTTTTCTGCAGCTACACTGGCCACGGGCAGCATGTCCTTTTCAGAAACATCTTGATACTCTCAAAGGTGGGATGATAGACACACGCCCAGGGAAGAGTATCAGCGTCTCTGCAGTGGGTTCTCTGTGGGAGTGGCAGCAGAAAGAATCACTGCTCCAGGCAAGTGAAATGGCACTGCAGTACCTGCCTGAGTTCTGAGTACAACATGGTGGCTCTGGAGCCAACTGCCTGGATTTAAATCCTTTCCTTTTACCTACCAACTTTGTATATATGAGCAAATTACATAGCTAACCTGTACCTCCAACTCCTCATCTATGATTTGCGCATAGTAACAAAGTCTATCTCAAAGAGATTTTATGAATCATAAATCAGTTAACGGATAATAAAGATCTGTAAGATTCACTTTTTGGGCCTTCGTATGGAATTTTTAGTCACATACACCAGTTTTTAGGCATACATTGTGACTTTTAGAATCATTAAACATCTGCAAGTAACTAACTGGAGCTCTAAATCCAGTTATTTAAATTTTTAAGAGTAATGGACTTTAAAAGAAAACTGACACCTTGAAGAATAATGATCATAAGAAGTTCACTTGCTTTACAGGTCTATTATAAATGGCAGGACAATTTTACCTATTATGTCTAAGCTCTATAACTACTGGAATACAGTATCAATCTTGCTTAAAAATATTATTCCCATTTTAGTGACCTAAAGAAACTTAATTTTATGAAGAGAAACTATGCCACCCAACATCACAGAGCCAGGAAGTGGCACAGACAGAACTGCTTGATCACAAATATCCCCTCCTGCCAAGAAATTTGCTTTGGCACATGTCTTCCGCCACTGTGTTATATGGAAGTCTCTAGAAAAGTAGCAATCTCCCAAGTTGACTTTCACATGAAGAAATTTTCAGAAAATATAAATTGATGCAGCTAAATGAAGGCACTTCTAAGTCCTTCCTGGTTTTGAAGATTTTGAATGTTTCTGAGATATAAATACCTATATCATCATATACCATACATAAACACACACTTTCAGTCTTTAAAGTGGCATCTGAGCCATATTATATTGAATACGATTGAGTAATAATGAAACAATCTTAGCTACCTCATGCACCCTGAGTTCCTACCTCCATCTACCTCACTTCCCTAAACCTAGCATCCCCTAGTTTTCTTTCTTACACCAAGATTCATTTACCAAACTTCCTAAGTGCTGAATGTTTGTTAGGCATCTTGAATTCAGCATATCAGAAATTCAGTCATTACCTTATCTCAATTCATCCATTCAACCCATAGATGGCACCCTAACAAACCTACTCCTTTTCTTCCAAAGTTACAAACCAGAAACCTGGGGAAGTATCCTGAGTCCTTGGACTCAGAGCTAGTCAGCCACAAAGTCCTACAAATTTTATCTAAATGTTTCTTGAAATCAGTCTTTTCCTGCCCACCCTCCACCCCCAGCCTGTGTCCCATGTCTTTCTTGACTCAGTCTAGGTTAGTAAATGTTTTACCTGTTTTTTTGGGGGGTTTGTTTGTTTGTTTGTTTGACAGGCAGAGTGGACAGTGAGAGAGAGACAGAGAGAAAGATCTTCCTTTTGCCTTTTTGCCGTTGTTTCACCCTCCAATGGCCGCCGGCGCACTGCGCTGATCCGAAGCCAGGAGCCAGGTGCTTCATCCTGGTCTCCTGGGCCACAGCAGAGAGCTGGCCTGGAAGAGGGGCAACCAGGACAGAAATCCGGCACCCAGACTGAGACTAGAACTCGGTGTGCCGGCGCCGCAGGGGGGAGGATTAGCCTATTGAGCCGCGGTGCCGGCCTGTACCTGCTTTTAATCTTGTCCCCTACAAAGAAAATCTCCATGATGCTATACAATATATACATCTTCTTACCTCAAAACTTCTACTTCCAATAAAATCTAAAGGAAAATGAGTACAGTTCTAAAATCTTAGAATCAAGAAGGCTCTTCTAAAACATACATCCCTCAAAAAACCTCAAAAAATATTAAAATATTCCATAAAAATAATTTAAAGGCAAAAAATACTGTAAAACTCAAAAAAATTTATAAAGAAGGAAAAGTGACCTGCAATACATATGATAAAAAACAAATTTTCCTTAAAATAAAAAAGAAAAAGGCAAGCACAGTGCTGTTTTTAAGAACAGATTCAGGCATCAGATTGTTTAAATCTGAACCTTTCTTCTTTCCTTTCCTAAGCTGTGACATTAGGCAAGCTATTTAACCTCTAAATGCCACCATTTGCTTGTCTATAGTAAGTGTTAAATAATACTTTATGTCTCACAGGGTAGAATGACTGAGAGAATTAAGGTTAAGGTGCTAAAAATAGTCCTTTGAATATTAGCACTATAAATATATTTATCAGTGCTATTATATGGTAAAACTGTAAAAAAAAATCAAACTGAAGACCAGTGACAGCAAATTCAAATTCATTCATTTGTTCAAAAGTTATTTATTGAGTACCAACTGTCTGGGAGACATGAGTAAGTAAAAAAAATATATAAAATTTATCTCTGGCATTGCATATACTCAATGAAGGAAATAATGTATTTTAAACTCAAGTAAATAAGCCAATACATAAGAAGATAAGAGTAACATGGCAGGGGGAGGAATAGCAATAGGGCACATAGGGAGGTGGGAGGTTGGCAGGAGACTATACAGTGCGATTTTAAATGGGACTGCCAGCATATCTCTCCATTGAGAAAGGAGTCGAGAATTAGGCAATCTACCCTTGTAGCCATCAGGGATGAACCTTCCACATAAATGTAAACAGCAGGACGAAGTCCTTTAGACAGAAGTGTGCCTGGCATATACCAGGCACAGCAAAGGAGCCAGCGGGGTCAATCCAGGGGAAACTACAACAGTAGAAGATTCAGTCAGCGAGGGAACAAGCAGTCGTATCCTGTAGGCCCTGTTAAATCAGCTTATGGACTTTCGCTGTTACTCTGAGTTATAGAAGAGTTACTGTAGATGCTAAACACAAGCCTAATATAATTATTATAAAAAGGATAATCTGGGGCTGTGTGGAGAAGTTAGTAGTAGTGGTGCAAAGGTAGATGCAGGGAGGAGTTGGTGTTGTGGCATACAGGTTAAGCAACAATGTACGTCGCCAGCATCCCATTATGAGCACTGGTTGGAGTCCCAGCTGCTCCACTTCCGATCCTGCTCCCTGCTTATACAACCAGGAAAGCAGTGAAGATGACCCAAATTCTTGGGCCCCTGCACCCACGTGGGAGACCTTGATGAAGCTCCTGGCTTCGGCTTGGCCCAGCCCTGGCTGCTGTGGCTATTCGGGGAGTGAACCAGCAGATGGAAGCTCTCTCCCTCGATCTCACTGTTAACTATGACTTATCAAATAAATAAATAAATCTTTAAAAAAAGAAAAAAAAAGTGCCAAGCAGGGAGACCACCTGGAAGACTACTACTAAAATCGCAATGAGGGCCTGGTGTTGTGGCACAGCAGG